GTGGTGGCGAGCGCGCCTATGACATCTACTCGCGGCTGCTGCGAGAACGCATCGTGTGCGTCATGGGCCCGGTGAGCGCCCGCGCCTACACCTGGCCCCTGACCTCGCCCCCCGCCCGGCCTTCCTCCAGCCCGGTCCGGCCCCTCTGCCCCCTCCGCCCCTCCCCTGCCCACTCCGAACCTCTCTGTCCCTTCCCGTGTCCCCACAGTTCTCCTGTGCTCCAAATCCCATGGGTCCCCACCGGCATCCCCATCTCCAGCCTCCCTCCACCAACCTCCCCCGGGGACCCCAATGTGGGACCCCCGCCTTCCCCGCTGCAGATCGATGACAGCGTGGCCAGCCTGGTGATCGCCCAGCTGCTGTTCCTGCAGTCGGAGAGCAACAAGAAGCCCATTCACATGTACATCAACAGCCCGGGTGAGCAGGCCGCCTGCCTGGGGCCTGGGGTGCTCCTGGGTGCAGGGGGTTCACTGTCCATCTCCTGCTGAGCAGGCCACCTGCCTGGGGTCTGGGGCGCTCCTGGGTGCGGGGGGGTTCATTGTCCACCTGCCACTGAACAGGCCGCCTGCCTGGGGTGCTCCTGGGTGCACAAGGGGCTCAGAGGCCAGCATCTCGGTGAGGTGGCCTCCTGCCTGGGGCCTGGGGCGCTCCTGGGGTACAGCGGGCTCAGAGGCCAGCATCCCTGGAGGTCCTCTCTCTGGGGAGGAGGTGTCACGCGTTTTTCAGATCTGGAAACTGCCAGAAGGTGCCTGTTGCGTGATCATCTGTTTCTCACGTTTGTTTTTGGGGGGGCGTTGTTAAAGTTTATTTATTTCTTCCATGAGTCAGAGAGGAACAGAGAAATCACCCCCAATAGACCCCCCCCCATGCCACGATCCTGCCCCCGGGCTCAGCTGGCCCTGGATCACGGTACACGCGTGTACTATAGTCAAGGCTGTCTCTGGACGCGAACCCCGCGTTTTCCCATGTGGGTCGTCCCACAGAGTGCCCCATCTTCCCCCCATGCCACGATCCTGCCCCGTTACTCATGTTTAAGCCTGGCTTCACACACTGGTGCCAGATTCACCCCATCGACTGCCGCCCCTCTGACCCCTCACCTCCCGTTCTACCAACCTGACCTGCTCATTCCTTTCTTTGGTTTTTGCCTTAGGGTGTGTGCTCTCACTAGAGAGAGACAGAGACAGAGAGAGGGAAAGTGAGAAGTCACCCCCCTGGGGAATGACTATTCCAAAATCCCTTTTCCTCCATTCTCCTCTTAGGGTTCTGGGCATCCCCACACACGCGCCTGGCAGGATTTTCAAGCCGCCAAGTCTGAGCCTTGAGCTGGCCCCAAGTCCTTTCCTTTTTGTCCCCACCTGGTCCGCATCACCTGTTTCAGATCCCTCCCTGGCTTTAAGGGCTGTGGGTGGAAGAGAAGCGGGTGGGGAGGAGCTGGTCCCCGCCCTCTGACACCCCTGCCTGCAGGTGGCGTGGTGACCGCGGGCCTGGCCATCTACGACACGATGCAGTACATCCTGAACCCCATCTGCACCTGGTGCGTGGGCCAGGCGGCCAGCATGGGCTCCCTGCTGCTCGCCGCCGGCAGCCCGGGCATGCGCCACTCGCTCCCCAACTCCCGCATCATGATCCACCAGCCCTCCGGGGGCGCCCGGGTGAGTGCTGTCGGGTGAGCAGGCGTGGGTGTCCGAGTTAACACGGAGGTTTCTTTATTAAACTAACGCAGGGGTGGTGAGACCCACAGATCAGGAGACAGCTACCAAGAGGAGGCAGCTGGGGCCGGCCCCATGGCCTAATGGTTAAGGGAGCAGATCCCACATGGCTGATCGTGCGGTTCGAGGCCTAGACCTGGCAGCTTGGAAAAGCTGGACATGTATGTGTGCGTGCCCCGAATTCTAACAAGACAGAGAAGAGGAAGAGAAGGGATTGTGGCGGAACCCGCACCATGGGGGGGGTGCTTTTGCCCTCTCCCACTGTCTCTCTCTGAGGAGCACCTGTGACCTCTGGCAATTAAGAACAGAGAGAGACGAATCAGTAAGCGGCATGCTGGTTAAGGTGCTGGACTCCCACATGGCCAACCACAGTTCGAGTCCTGGACCTGGCAGCTTGCTTTCTTACATTCCCTCTCTGTCTGTCTGTGGTCAAATTAAAATAATAATAATAATAATAATAATTCTTTTAGAAAAAGAACAGGAGAGAGACGAGGGCTGCTGGCTGCTTTGATCCCAAGAGGATTGGTCAGGCCACGCCGGGGCCGGTCAGGAAGCAGTGGGGGCCGAGGGAGACACGAAGCCCATATGCTGCCCTTTTGAATTAATCAATTTACTTAACTCCATTCGTTATTATTACTTAATTTGACCAGAGAGAGACAGAGAGAGAGGAGAGAGAGAAGGGAAAAGCGAGAAAGCAAGCTGCCAGAACCGGGACTTGAACCATGGTCAGCCACATGGGAGACCAACGCCGTTAATCTCCGCACCACCTGCTGGCCCTCCCGTATGGTGCTTTCTAAGGAAAGGGCCAGGCGAGGCAGGGTAGGTAGGCTTCGGGTTGGCAGTCGAGTGGTTGCTGTGGGCTGGGTTCTGGGGTGCAGGGGCTGTGCTGGTCTGCTCAGGTGCTGGTAACAGGAAATAAAAGAGCAGAGATTTGGGCCAGCAGGTGGCGTAGCAGTTATGTCACTGGACTTCCACACGGCCAACCGTGGTTCAAGTCCCGGACCCGATGGCTTAAAACTCACACCGGGCGTGTATGTGTGTGTCCCTAAATCCCAGGAGGAGAAGGAATTGTGGCCATCCCCCCTGGGGAGTGAGTTCTCACTTTCCCTCTCACTGTCTCTGTCTCTCTCTCGGGTGAGCACACATGCCCTAAGGCAAAAATTCTAAAAAAAAAAAAAAGAGAGAAGAATAGAGGTTTATTTGCTCACGGTCTGGAGGGCCGAGGCCGGGGGCTGCATCCAGTGGGGCTTTGTGTTGGTGGCATCCTGAGGCCACTCAGGAGGACAGGAGCATGCGTCTTTATCATACGTGGGTCTCCGTGTCCCTGTAAAGTCACCAGGAGTCAGCTGTGGGGCCACCGTACCCGTAAGCACCCCCAAAGGCCCCCACGCCCACACCAGGAAGACCATTTCCTGTCTGGCTCCTGAGCAGACCCGTACACACAGTAGGGGAACAGCAGACCATAGCAGGGCCGTCCCACACAGCGGGCTCGTGGCTCTGGGGCCCAGTGGAGGCGCTGGCGGGGAGCGGGCTCTGGGGCGGCTGGTTGTGTGTGACAGACGCCCACGCAGGCGACGTGTTTGCTGTGTCTGAGAACCACCTTGCCCCAGGGGCCGTGCCTCCCTGGTCTGCAAGGTCTGGGCAGGGCAGCGAGGATGACCGGGAGGTGGAAGGGAGGGATGCTCATGTCAACGCTGCCTTTTCTTCCTCTTCTTTTTTCTTTTTTTTTTTTTTTTGAGAGATTTTCACTGTAGGGCGCGTGCGCTCGCCAGACAGACAGAGAGAGACATAAAGACAGAAAGCGAGAAATCACCCCCCAGAGGGGATGGTCACGCCGCAGTCCCTTCTCCATTCTCCTCTCGGGATCTTGGGCACGTACGCACACACACGCCCGGCGTGAGTTTTAAGCCACCGGGTCCAAGACGTGAACTGCGGTCAACTACGTGGGAGTCCAGTGACATAGCGGTTACGCTAACTGCTGGTTCCCCCTGTTCTTTTTTTAAGAGAGATTTTTGCTATCTGGCGCCTGTGGTTGACAGAGAAACAGAAAGGGAGATGGGGCCCGGAAATGGCTTGGTGGTTAAGGGCGCTGGACTCCCGCGTGGCCAGCTGTGGTTTGAGTCCTGGACCAGGCAGCTTGCTTTCTTGCCTTCTTTCTCACTCTGTCCCTCTCTGGTCAAATTAAATAAAGTCAAATAAAATAATTCTTTCAAAAAAATAAAAAAGAAAGCAAGCAAGCAGACACACAGTCCCCCAGGGTGGATGGCCACACTGCAATTCCTTTCCCTCCGTTCTCCTCTTGGGGTTTTGGGGGCACACATGCACATGTGCCCGGTGTGAGTTTCAAGCCGCCGGCTCCGGAACTGGAAGCACAGTTGGCCCGTGGGCGTCCAGCGGGTGTGACTGCGGTGCCATCTGCTGGTCCCTGACTGCCCCTCTCCCCTGGCTGGCCGACCCTCAGGGCCAGGCCACAGACATCGCCATCCAGGCCGAGGAGATCATGAAGCTGAAGAAGCAGCTCTACAACATCTACGCCAAACACACCAAGCAGAGCCTGCAGGTGATCGGTGAGTGCCCCAGCCACCTCGGCGCTCCTCCCGGCTCCCGGCCCACGCAGCGTGCCACCCGGCAGAGTGCTTGGCCCTGCGGCCATTCAGGACCCATCCTTCTCTGAGGCAGGGACTGTCCTGTGCACCAGGGGCTGTGCAGCCTTCTCCCACTGGTGCCCGGAAACGTCTCCAGACGTCGCCTGGTGTCCTCTGATGAGCGAAGCCACCTCTGCTTAGATTCACTATCATTTTTTTTTTTTTTTTAGGTTTTTGCCATGGGGCGCATGCACTCACCAAAGAGAGACAGTGAGAGGGAAAGCGAGAAATGACCCCCCGGGGGGATGGCCACGCCGCAATCCCTTCTCCTCCATTCTCCTCTCGGGGTTTTGGCATGCACATACACGTGCCTGGCCTGAGTGTTAAGCTGCCAGGTCCGGGACTGGAAACGCAGGCAGCCTCATGGGGGTCCAGCACCTTAACCACCACAGTACCTGCTGACCCCAAATTAAGTAATTCTTTAAAGAAAAACAGAGAGACGTCCCTGAGGACTCCGGGCACGTGCGTGCTCGTGGTCTGGAGTGGCCAGGGCTGGGGTGACAGCGTCGGAACCCTGCTGGGGGTGCACACCCCCTCTTGATTCAAGTCAAGGAACACGGAAGCAGGGATTTTACTGGTGGGAAACTGAGGCCCAGGTCAGGCAGGGCAGATGCCAGGGCGGGGACACTCTCAGCTCCAGCGGCTGTCACAGAGCACTGTGGATTAGGCAGTGCAGACAGCAAGCAGCTGGCCCTCGCAGTTCTGGGCGCTGGAAGTCCATGGTCCGCGCAGGGTCCGGGGCAGGGTCCCAGCCAGGGCTGGCTTCTATGCGCAGGTGGCTGCCTGCACTGTGAACGGCCTTTCCTCTCTGCCCATCTGGGGTCTTCCTCTGACGGGCGCCAATCCCATGTTGGGGGCCCCACCCTCATGACCTCATCTAGCCCTAATCATCCCCCAAGTACCATCCTGCTGGGGGTTGGGGCTCGAACACAGGGATGGGGGAACAGGTCCCTGCTCTCACCGCGTGCGCCTCCTGCTCCCCCAGAGTCGGCCATGGAGAGGGACCGTTACATGAGCCCCATGGAGGCCCAGGAGTTCGGCATCTTAGACAAGGTCCTGGTCCACCCTCCCCAGGACGGGGAGGACGAGCCCGAGCTGGTGCAGAAGGAGCCTGTGGTGGCGGCGGCGGCGGCAGTGGCAGCGACAGCCCCTGTCCCAGCGAGCACTTGAAAAACGGACCTCATCTGCGGAGGGGCCGGGGCTCTGCAGACCCCAGGCCGCAGCCCGGCTCACCCCTCGCCCCAAGGAACTGTGGATCTGGGGTTCCCCTCGGGCCGCGCAGCCTGGCTGAGACACTGTGATTTTAAATTAAAACTCGTGGTCTTCGCTCTGCGTCTGAGGCCCTCCCTTCGCCGCTGCACAACGGCGTGCACACGCGTGTGCACCACGTACTCCTGCCGCGCTCAGACCGGAGGCTTGGGCCTTCCCTCCCTCCTGCTCTCTGGGCGCGTAGCCCTCAGGCACTGTCAGAGGCTGTGACCGGCGGCGATGAAAACCAGGGGAAGTAAAACCGCAAAACCCCAGGGACCGAGGTAAGCTGGTGTGTGTGTGAGCCTCAGTTTACCTCGGGGCCTAAGGGAAACCCTCACTCTAAGGTGACATTGGGAACTGAAGGAGGGGAGGGAGGGTCTGGATCCCACACGGAGGACTTCCCGATTTGAGTCCAGACCTGGTTGCTTAAAAATGGGCATGTGAGGGGCCGGCAGGTGGCGTGGTGGTTAAAGGTGCTAGATTGCCACGTCGCCGACCGCGGTTCAAGTCCTAGACCTGGCAGCTTCCTTTCTCACTTCCCCTTTCTTTCTATCTGTGTCTGGTCAAATTAAGAAATGAAAAAAAGATAATGATAAATGGAATTAAATAAATAATTCTTTTTTTTTAAAAAAAAAAAGTGCATGTGAGGACCAGCAGGTGGGGTAGCAGTTACATTGCTGGACTCCCACACAGCCGACCGTGGTTTGAATCCCGAACCTGGTGGCGTGAAACTCACGCCGGGTGCAGGTGCATGCATGCCCAAGATCCTGGGAGGAGCATGGAGGAGAAGGGACTGCGGCGTGGTGATTCCTCTAGGAGGGTGATTTCTCACTTTCCCTCTCCCTATCTCTGTCTCTCTCTGGCGAACACACGCACTCTAAAGCAAACATCTCTAAAAAATATATAAAACCACGTGCACGCCCGATGTTCTGACAGGAAGGGGGGATGGAGACGAGATGAGCACATCCCATGAGGGTGCTCTGCCTCCGCTGTCTCTCCCCCCTCGCCCTGGTGACTGCACCCACCTGCTGGTCATTACAAACAGTACAAGTCGGTATTTCAGGAGAGAACGGTCAGCCGGGGCCCAGGCGCCGGGGCAAGGCTGTTCTCGGCTTGGAGGAGCCACCAGGAGGTCGGTGGCCGAGGAGGAGTGGGAGACATGAGATCAGGGCCGGCCTGTGGCGCAGTGGTGAAAGAGAGCTGGTGATCACACAGCTGGCCGCGGTTCAAATCCTCAGTAGCTCGAGAAATACGCTGGGCACGTGTGTGCACCCAAAACCCCACAAGACGAGGACAGAGGCGGGACTGTGGAGTGACCAGGTCTCTTTGCTGAGTGCTTCTCCCCTGACCAGTGAGGGCACATGCTTCCATGCCTTCCCTTTTGAAAAACTAAAAACAGGTGGGGACCAGCAGGTGGTGTGGTTTTGAAGGCACTGGACACTCCCACATGGCCATCCACAGTTTGAGTCCTGGTCTTGGCTTGTTTTCCCACTTTCTTCTCTTGTCTCTCTTTGGCCTAATTAAAATAAATGAATTAATAAATAAAATTAAATAAATAATTCTTTTAAAGAAAAAAAGAAACTAGGACCAGCAGTTGGCATAATGGTTATGTCGCTGGACTCCCATGTAGTCAACTGTGGTTCGAGTCCCAAACCCGGCATGAGTTTGAAGCTGCCAGGACTTGAACTACGGTTAATCACATAAGGATTCCGACGCCTTGAAACCACTATACCCCCTGCTCGCCCCAAGGCCGTCCAGTCCTAAGCACCAATATGAGGGACTGACCTAGAGACAAGCACACCTCTCGGGGTGCTGAGATACAGTGGTTCCCCTTTATTTAGTTTTGAAGACAGGAGGATTGTCAATCAGCCAGATTCCTTTACATTGTCCTGGTCCTAAAATCTGGGACATCTGGAAGCGGAGGCTTGTGGGAAGTGAGTTCGAGGTTCTTCGATTAGTAAGAAAATCACAAAGACAGTGCTTTCCTCTCAGACAGGAAGGCTTACCATGCATCACGCCATCTCTGCGCCGGGGACAGGAGGGCATCCCACCATCAGTCACCTGCTCGTGTGTGTGGGCGTGACTCCCAGGTGCCCTGGGCAACAGCTGCGGGATAGGGAAAAGTCAGAATCTGGTCCTCAGCTCCGTGCAAAGCCTCACGGGCCCTCACCGATGAACACACCACGCTGCCAGTGGGATTCGTCCTACCCCACTCTGCTGCTGCACCCCCAATTCCTGGAAATAAACTCCCAGATACCGTTTCATCTAAAATGACTAGAGTTGGGACCAGCAGGTGGCGTGGTGGTTAAGGCGCTGGACACTCCCACATGGCCGACCAGGGTTCAAGTCCTGAATCTGGTGGCTTGCTTTCTCACTTCCTCTCTCTCTCACTCTCACCCTCTGTCTCTCTCTGGTCAAACTAAAAAATAAAATGAATGAAAAAATAAAAAAATAATTATTTTTAAAAAAATAAAAAATAAAATTACTAGTGTTTCCAAAGGAATCCTTAAAGACAACCACAATGCCATTTTAAGCCTAAAATAATAATAATACTTAGAGGAAATAGATGATGCCTCACTTTGACCTTCCACCCAATCCCTAACTGCACACCCCCAACTATGACCGTGACCCCTTGTCACCCTGGCTGGCCCCTGCCTCAACCTCTACCTCAGACCGACTCCCAGCCACTGCCCAGCCAATAGCGCGGGAGAGAAGGCGGGCTCTAGGCAAGTACCCAATAGCTCGAGAGGCAAGCCGACCAGCCACCAATAGTCTTGGTCGAGAGGCGGGACTCTCGGTAAAGCCAGTCGCTGGAGGTGCCCGGCGCAGCCACAGCCAATGGCTTTGGGGCGGGGTGTCCAGACGCTCCCACAACTCGGCTATGGGACGATGGCGACGAGCCGGCAGCTCGCGCTGCAGAAGCTGCGCCAACTAGGCTGGGTGCGGGGCTCGGGCCCGGCCGTGCTGAGGCGCCTGCAGGATGCGGCCGTGGTGCGGCCCGGCTTCCTGAGCGCGGCTGAGGAGGCGACGCTGAGGAGCGAGCTGGAGCCCGAGCTACGCCGCCGCCGCTACGAGTACGACCACTGGGACGCGGTGAGGCGCCGGGGACCGGGCCGCGTCGGCGCAGAGCCTGCGCATTGCAAAACCAGAGGGGTGCGGCTACGTCGGGGACGTTTAGACCAGGACGGGGCGGGGCCTGGGGCGTAGGGGCGGTACCCAGAGCTGGAGCGTGTAGGGGCGGAGCCTGCGGCACTGGGGGCAAAGCCAGAGGGGCGGGGCTACTTCGGGGACGATTAAACCATGACGGGGCGGGGCCTGAGGCATATGGGCGGTACTCAGAGCTGGAGCGCCTGGGGGCGGGGCCTGGGCTGGGAGACCCCTTTGAGATGCCTGCAGACGGGTATTTGGAGGCCTGATCTGTAACCGAGGGCTGTTAGGGACCAAAGTTAGGGGCAGAAACGGGTGTCCAGCGAGATGAGGAGGGGCAGTGGCTGGGGACTGTTGTGGCGAGGCCTGCATTGGCGACCTGGGATTGGGGTGCGGGAAGGACTGAGGACAGACCTTGATGGCGGCGCGGGAGGGGGGTGGGGGGTTCTGTGTGAGTTCGAGACCTTTGGCTGGGCGTGGAGTTGGGCCAGAGTTAATTGTCACGCGGGGTAAACAGCCCTGTCCTTTGCTCCTCCGTGCTCAGTGTCCCTGTTCCCCCTGTGGGCTCCCAGGCTTGACCTGAGCGCTCTCTGCAGGCTATCCATGGCTTCCGTGAGACCGAGAAGTCGCGCTGGTCGGAGGCGAGTCGGGCCATTTTGCAGCGTGTGAAGGAGGCCGCCTTTGGCCCTGGCCAGACTTTACTCTCCCGCGTGCACGTCCTGGACCTGGAACCCCGTGGCTACATCAAGCCCCACGTGGACAGTGTCAAGGTGGGCAGAGGCTGGCGCCTGGGTGCTCCCAGCAGTGGGCACAGGCCAGCCTGGCCCCAGCCTACCCCATGCTCTCAATTCTAGTTCTGCGGAGGCACCATCGCCGGCCTGTCCCTCCTGTCTCCCAGCGTCATGCGGCTGGTGGACACCCAGGAGCCCTCAGAGTGGCTGGAGCTCCTGCTGGATCCTGGCTCCCTGTACATCCTGAGGTACCCCGACAAAGACTCCCACCTAGTCCCGGCCGATGCCCCCCTTTGAGCCCTCTCCCTCGTCCCCCACAGCAGACACCACCGTCCATACCTAGGGCAGGTGCAGGGAGCAGCAGAGCATCTAGCAGGCTGCCCATCACACCCCATCTTCTCTTGCAGGGGCCCAGCCCGGTACGAGTTCTCCCATGAGATCCTCCGGGATGAAGAGTCCTACTTTGGGGAGCAGCGGGTTCCCCGGGGCCGACGCATCTCTGTGATCTGCCGCGCCCTCCCTGATTCAGGAGAGCTGGGGGACCCCGGACAGGAGCCTGCAGCCTGCTGATGGCAGGCCCCTTCCCCAGCTGCTTGCTGCCCTGCGTGGGCGAATAAATGAGAGGAGGGAGGACTCTGGTCTCTCTGGCTGTCTGCCGGGCTGGGATTTGCAGGGGAAGCCCGGGTGGCACCTGCCCCAGGGCAGACAAGGCAGATGTGGGATAGATATGCAGTCCCAAGGCCAGAACAGTGTCCTTTATTATGCCCAAGGATGGCCGTCCCGGCCCACCCCCATCATCTCTGCATCCAGGCTCCCAGTCAGTAAGTCCGCCGAGCTCCTGGAGCAGCAGGGCTGCTCCTCCACGCAGGCCGGGGCGCAGGGTGGTGCTCAGCCGCCACAGCCGCAGGCAGCCGCCGAGAGCTGGGGTAAGGCCGCCCGCGGGGCGGGGGGTTAGCCGCTGCCAGCGGTGGCGGTCGTCGAGGAAGGCCACGTCAGTGTAGCGGGTGGGCTGGCAGCAGGGCCCGCCGTGTGCTCGGCCCCGGCCCCGCAGCCGAGCCAGCGCCAGGCCATGCTGGGTGCGGGCGCCGCGGGGACAGCTGCCTGCGCAGTACTGGAAGATGACCTTCTCCTCCGAGACGTAGCCCAGGCCCAGCTCGGCCACCGGCAGGGTCAGGCTCCGCAGCTGGCAGGGGCCGGCCAGGGCTCGGCGCAGGCGGGAGCGGTGGGTGC